GGTTCGGCACCCCACTCCACCCCCCACAGCTCCAGTGAGCACAGTGGTGGTGGATAAGTCAGGTCACAGCCCTCACACAACAGCCTAGAGCTGAGGCTATGTTCCTCCTTCTCCCATTGCAGCAGAGCCCAGTAATGGGAGAAGGGAGGTGCTTAAACAGCACAACAGGCTGGCAGCCATTGCTGACAGGAAGGCAGGGCTCCCTGCCCCACCAGTCATCACAGGCCCTGGTAGAGGTAGTGAAGACAACTCCAACAACACAGTAGGGTCAGCTGCCGTGAATAATGAGGAGGCAGCGATGGAAGTTAACAAAACTGGTCCTCCATTACGCTGTTCACCTTAACCAAGATGCGCAGGTCACAGGCAAGACACCTACCTCTCCAGTGGTTCTGTGGCATTTTCCTCAATTTAAGCAATGTCACGGGTAAGAGAAAAGAAAAGCCTGTGCTATAGCACCATCTACGGGAAAACAAAAGAAAGTAACCTACCAAGCCACCTACTCTATTAAGAGCAAAACAGTATCTCAACAAGAAAAGCATTCCCTTCCTCAAATGCACAGACCTATAAACATGAAGAACCATGAGCAATCAAGGTAACATAGAAGCACAGAATGAAAATGAAAAGTCTCCAGAAACCAAACTCAAAGTCGTGGAAGACTGCAATTTAAATGACAGAGAATTTTCCATAACCGGTTTGGCTCAGCGGATACAATGTCTGCATGTATCTTAGTTTGGGCACATACATCCCCAATGGGGGACTTGCAGGAGGAAGATGATTGATGTTTCTCTCTCATCGATGTTTCTAATCCTCTATCCCTCTCCCTTTCTCTCTGTAAAAAATCAATAAAAGATATATTTTTTAAAATAAAATAAATAAAAATAAATGACAGAGAATTTAAGATTGCAGTTATGAAGAAACTCAAGGAAGTGCAAGAAAGACCACTTGATGAGATCAGGAATAAAATTAATGAACAAAAAAAAATCTTACCAAAATAATTAGAATTATAAAAAAAAAAAAGAACCAAATAGAAATTCTGAAGTTGAAGAACTCAATAAATGAGATGAGATGATGAATGCATTAGAGCAGACCATAGAACAGACCATATGGAACAGAGATTCTATGGCTATAGAGCAGACCATACGGAACAGAGATTCAGGAAGCTCAAAGATAGGAATCTAAAAATGAACCAGGAGGAAGGAGAAAGAGAACTAAGAGCTACCATATGATCCAGCAATACCTTTTCTGGGTATCTCTCCTAATAATTTTAAAATAATTTTTTGGTAAAGATATATGTACCCTTATGTTTATTGCAGCTTTATTTACAACTAGAGGCCCAGTGCATGAAATTTGTGCACTGGTAGGGTTCCTAGCAGCTGCTGGCTGCCAGCCAGGGCCTTCCTCCCTTCCCCCGGTCGGCCTGCCCTCTGGTCGAACTCCTGGAAGAACTTCAGTTGAGTGGACAATTTGCATACTATGCTTTTATTCTATAGGATAGCTAAATCATGAAATAACTTCCACAGATGATTAAAGAAGATGTGGAGAGAACCAAGATGGTGGTTTAGGTAAATACCAGCACTTGCCAACTCCTACAACCACATCAAAATTACAACTAAAATACAGAAAAAAATCATTCAGAACAATCTGAAATCTTGTTGAATGTTAAGTCCTACAACTAGAAAAATAAAGAAGAAAGCACATCAAGACTAGTAGAAGGGGCAGAGGCACGGAATGGACTTGTCCAACATCCATGTGTGGTGTTTTTTTAATTGGGAGTGATATCTCCAAGGCCTCTGGTGGGAAGCAAGGGGCTCTAGCCCCACACAGAGTTCCAGAGCTGGGAAGAGAAGTCCCTGTAACTTCGGGCTGTAAAAATCAGCAAGGATTGTGACTCAGTGACACAAAGGCTACTGGAATCTCAGATAGCTCCTCTTAAAAGGCTGGCACATGTACTTACATGGTCCCACTTCCTCTGAGCTTCAGTGCCAAGTAGCAATTGGGGGGGGCGGGGGGAGGTGTCCAGGGGCATACAGAGAGGACCTCGATTGTCTGGCATCAGGTCAGGAATGTGGTGGCTGCTTTCTTCCAGCAGAGGGTGCTCACAAGGGTGATTGTTCCTATGCTGGGACCTCCCCATCATGACAGAGCTGACTGGCAGCCATATCTGAGTTTCCATCAGCATGGCTCACACTGTTTGCTCTGCCCTGGTGATTCCTTGAAACCCCACCCTATCCAATTTGCAGCCCCATCCAAGCTATTAGCAGTGACTTTTTCATAAGTCCTGGCTCAGGCTTCAGACTTTTCTAAAAGTCTGGTGTCAGCATGCCCAAATCTATCAATAAGAGGCCCAAGACCTGGCACTAGCAATAAAATGGCAATACATACATATCTATCAACAATGGAATGTAAAAAAAATAAATGAACAAGAAATCTAATGAACAAAATAAGCTGATGAATAAATTAGAATCAGAGGCATGGAAACATGAAACAGACTGAAAAATCCCAGAAGGAAGTGGGGAGGAAGGGTTGGCAATAAATTAACCAAAGATATTATATGCATATATGCGTTACTTGTGGACACAGACAATAGGGTAGTGAGGCAGGGTGGAATAGGGTGGAGAGGGTCAATGGAGGGGAAAAGGGAGACATCTGTAATACTATTAATAATAAAGATTTTTTCACGATATAGTACATGGATAATGAAATAGCCATAAAAAATGAGATATTTCTATTTGTGACAATATGAATGAATCTTGAGTTTATTGTGCTGAGTGAAATAAATCAGATGAAAAAGGACAAGAAGTGTATTATTTCACTCTTATGTAGCATATAAAAAACAATAAATGTATAATAAACAAACAAAACTCATAGCTACAACATAAACAACAGAAAGGTGGTTACTAGTGCAGAAAGAGGGTGAGGGGAGGATGAAGAGGGTAAAGGGGATCAAATACCTGGGGGTGGAAGGAGGCTAGACCTTTAGATGTCGTATTCTAAACTTGTACACCAGACGTCTCTATGTTGTTAACCAATGTCACCCCAATACATTTTGTTTTAAAAAAAACTAGCCCACTTTCAGTTAAGATTTCTCTTTTTACAACATGTCAAAATCAGTTAGAAATCCTGGATTCTTTTTGGGAACAACTAACCTATTAGTTAGAACCCCTAGACATGGGCCTCCCCAGGGGTCTGTTGGGTCTGGGCATGGTACGGGGGGTGGGGGGGAGCTTGGGAGGAGGGGACGGGACAGTTGTGAAAGAGCTTGGGGCTCAGAGGGACTCTGCACAGCATTGGAAAAGTGACCATGCCTTCTGAATGAAAAATTCATAAAATGGGAGAAAAAAGGGAGACATATGTAATACTTCCAGCAATAAAGAATTATTTTAAAAAGACAATCTGAAAAAACTATATTCTGTATTATTTTAACTATATGATATTCTGGAAAAGGTAAAACTATGGAGGTGGTGAAGAAATTAGAGGTTATGCTGAAACCAGTTTGGCTCAGCGTAGAGCGTCGGTCTGCAGACTGAAGAGTCCCAGGTTCGATTCCGGTCAAGGGCATGTACATTGGTTGCGGGCTCATCCCCAGTAGAGGGTGTGCAAGAGGCAGCTGGTCGATGTTTCTCTCTCATTGACGTTTCTAACTCTCTATCTCTCTCCCTTCCTCTCTGTAAACAATCAATAAAATATATTTTAAAAAAAAAGAAAGAAATTAGAGGTTGTTAGGGGTTAGGGGTGAAAAATGGATGACTAGACAGAACACAGAAGATATTTAGGGCAGTGAACTATTCTGTATGATGCTGTAATGGTTGATACATGTCATTATAAGTTTGTCCAAATCCACAGAATGTACAACACCCAGAGTGAGCTTAACATAAGCAAGGATTTTTTAATAGTGATGTGTCCTTGTAGGTTCACGAGTTGTAACAAATGCACCATTCAGGTACAGAATGTTGATAATGGGGAAGCTAAGCATGTGTGGAGACATGCTATATAAGGTAAATCCCTGTACCTTCTACTTAATATTGATATGCATATAAAACTGCTGAAAGAAAGAAAGAAAGAAAGAAAGAAAGAAAGAAAGAAAGAAAGAAAGAAAGAAAGAAAGAAAGAAAGAAAGAAAGAAAGAAAGAAAAAAGAAAGAAAGAAAGAAAGTAAGAAAGAAAGCCCTGCTGGAGTGGCTCAGCAGATTGAGCCTGGTCCCATGGACCAAGAGATCCAGGTTCAACTCCTGATCAGGGCACATGTCCGAATGGCAAGCTTGATCCCCAGTAATGGGCATGCAGGAGGCAGAAATTGGTGGGTCTCCCTCATCGATGCTTCTATCTCTCCCTCTCTTTTCCTCTATGAAATCAATAAAAATACATTTTAAAAAACAACAACACACACCAAATATTGCATGATTCCAATTCTATGAAGGGGGGTGGGAGGAGGGTACAAAGTTTCAGATTTGCAAGATGAAGAAGTCCTGGAGATCTGTTTTACAACAACGTGGATATACTTAACCCTATTGAACTGTGCTCTTAAAAATACTTACTACGGCCGCAATCGGTTTGGCTCAGTGGATAGAGCGTCGGCCTGTGGACTGAAAGGTCCCAGGTTTGATTCTGGTCAAGGGCATGTACCTTGGTTGCGGGCACATCCCCAGTAGGGAGTGTGCAAGAGGCAGTTGATTGATGATTCTCTCTCATCGATGTTTGTGACTCTCTATCCTTCTCTCTTCCTCTCTGTGAAAATCAATAAAATATATATTTTTTAAAAATACTTACTATGGTCAATTTTATGGGGCAGTGAGGTCCTGGGGCAAAGGGCAAGCTGGATGGGGTCAATTTTTAAAATAAAGGAAAAAAACAGCATTGGGAACCAAAAAAGTCAAAACGAAGTGTTTGAATATGCTTAGCCACAAGATATAACATTATTACTGCCAACTCTGAAGTCCTGCTTGTGCAGGAATCTATATTTACTAAACATATAAAAATCTTGTTCTATTTGCCTCTTCTTAGGCATCATCACCCAGGTGACCAAGCCGGTGAATGATAACATGAAATTATCCTGTGGTTACAACATCTCCACGGATGAACTGATAAGAGTTCGCATCTATTGGCAAAAAAATAGTGATATGGTGGTGACTTTCATATCCGGAAAGGAGAAAACGTGGCCCGCGTATGAGAACCGCACCAACGTGAGCATCACCAGCGACCCTTTCATTGTGATCCTGGGTCTGCGTCCGTCGGACGAGGGCCTATACTCCTGTATCATTCAGAAGCCTGAAAAAAAGGGGACTTACAAGTTGGCACACTTGACTAAGGTGATGTTATCGGTCACAGGTCAGTAGAATTTTCTGATTTACTCTAAGCCTGCAGGCGCTTCATGCCCTTTGAGATATACTTCTGTTGAATTAGGTGAAAATTTTCTCCAAGAGGGATGTGTCTCATTTTATTCCTTAGGGTTAAGTGAATCTCTACAGTAAGCCCCAATTGGTTTCTCATTATGTCCTGGAAATGCCTGATAGTGTGCATTTCTTGCACTTGGACAATTTGTGTTTGTGACCATCATCCTGGGGCACTAGATTGACCCAAATGCCTTCTGAGTCATTACGGGACATGTTTAATTTGATGTAACTATACTACTAACTGCTCTTGATCTGGTAATATATTTGTGTGAAAGTATGTTGAGAGGTATAAGAAGCAATTGAGGTATAAATATTTTCCAAGTACTATTTTAATGTCTGTAACGATGACTCTCGTACTATTGTTATATGTACTAGAGGCCCAATGAATGAAATTCATGCGAGGGTCTTGGCCCTTGCAGCCCTGGCTTCATCTGGAAGGCGGTTTGGCTATCCGGTCTAATTAGCATATTGGCTTTTATTATTATAGATTGTGCATTTGAAGCTCTTATCTAGCAGTCATCCCTACAAAGTTAGATGTTAGAGAACTGAAAGCATAATTTATGCCTGCCACAGGAAAGAAAATTAATTCATGAATCAAAGCCCTATTTATATATCTATCGTGAAGGGTAGACATTTCTTATCTTGGGTAGAAAGGAGCTAGAGCTCACAGGTGATAATACTGGAGGACACTGAGGTAGCCTGAGCCTCCTTGAGAAAGACAAACTGGGCCGTGTCTCACACTTAACATGCAAACACATTTCTTTTTCTTTCTGGGTGGTTGAGGTTTTAATGGAAACCAAACCTCTTAATAAAAGATAATCCTGCTGAAACCGGTTTGGCTCAGTGGATAGAGCATCGGCCTTCAGACTGAAAGGTCCCAGGTTTAATTCCAGTCAAGGGAATGTACCTTTGTTGCGGGCACATCCCCAGTAAGGGGTGTGCAGGAGGCAGCTGATCGATGTTTCTCCATCAATGTTTCTAACTATCTTCCTCCTTTCTTCACTGTAAAAAAATCAATAAGATATATTTAAAAATAAAAGATAGCCGAAACTGGTTTGGCTCAGTGGTAGAGCGTTGGTCTGCGGACTGAAGAGTCCCAGGTTCGATTCCGATCAAGGGCATGTACCTTGGTTGCAGGCACATCCCCAGTGGGGGGTGTGCAAGAGGCAGCTGGTCGATGTTTCTCTCTCATCGACGTTTCTAGCTCTCTATCTCTCTCCCTTCCTCTCAGTAAAAAAATCAATAAAGTATATTTTAAAAATAAATAAATAGATAAAAATAAAAGATAATCCTATCTAATAAAGAGGGAATATGCTAATTGACCCTCACACCATCACAAATATGGCAGCACCCAGGGCCAGTAAGGAGGGAATATGCTAATTGACTTCTCCCTCAAAGATGGCAGCGCCCACAGCCACAAGATGGCTGCATCCAGTCCCCTCAGCCCTGCTGGGGTGTCAGGTGCTTGGCAAAGCTGGGCCTGCCCCTAGGAAGGCCCAACCACTCCACGCCTGCCTCTAGAGTCCTCCAGTTCCCTCAGCCCCCAGCCACCCAGGGACAGCCTGAGGTGTAGGCAAGCCTTAAATGTTGGCTGGCCAGCTGCCCAGGGCCACCCGAGGCTCAGGTAACCAGTGCCAGATGAGGCTTGTACTGCCAGCAGTGGCGGCAGCAGAGGTATGATAGGGCATTGCTTTCCCCTGATTGCTGGATCACCTCCTGCTCCTAACAGTTCCTGGACTGTGAGACGGAGCAGGCCAGGATGAGGGAGCCCCCCTCCAGTGCATGAATTTTCTGCACTGGGCCTCTAGTATTATAATAATTATGTATGGTGCCAGGTGGGATTTAGATTTATTGGGGGGAATCACTTACTAATTATATGGATGTCTTACCTGAACTAATATAATATTAAATGTCATGTGTAATTGAAAACATTCAAAAAGAAAATAAACAACAAAAAAAATAATGGCCGAGGCCAGATGGCTCAGTTGGTTGGTCTTTGAAGTATGCCATTGGTATTTTAGTGGGGTTGTATTGAATCTATAGATTGCTTTGGGTAGTATGGACATTTTAATGATATTGATTCTATTGTACCAATCCATGAACATGATATGTTCACTTTTGTTTATCTCTTCCTCCATCTCTTTACTCAATGTCCTGTAGTTTTCAGAGTACAGGTCTTTTACTTCCTTAGTTAAGTTTATTCCTAGATATCTTAATTTTTTATTTTTTGTACAATAGTAAATGGGATTTTTTTTAGTTTCACTTTCTGTCAGTTCATTATTAGTGTATAAAAAGGCCACAGATTTCTGGGTGTTAATTTTGTATCCTGCTACATTGCTGAATTGATTTATTAGGTCTAGTAGTTTTTTTGATGGAGTCTTTGGGGTTTTCTATGTATAGTATCATGTCATCTGCAAATAAGGACAGTTTTACTTTTTTTTTTTTTTTTTTTTTTTTTTTTTTTTTTTTTTAATTTGGATGCCTTTTATTTCTTCTTCTTGTCTAATTACTATGGCTAGCACTTCCAGTACTATATAGAACAGGAGTGGTGAAAGTGGGGATCCCTGCCTTGATCCCATTATTAGAGGAAATGAGTTTAGTTTTTGCCCACTGAGTATGATATTGGCTGTAAGTTTGTCATATAAGGCTTTTATTATGTTGAAGTATGTTTCCTCTATTCCCACATTATTGAGAGTTTTTATCAGGAAAGGGTGTTGGATTTTGTCAAATGCCTTTTTTGCATCAATTGATATAATTATGTGATTTTTGTCTCTCAATTTGTTTATGTGATGTATAATGTTTATTGATTTGTGGATTTCATACCAGCCTTGCATCCCTGGAATAAATCTCACTTGGTCATGATGTATCAACTTTCTAATGCCATGCTTGATCCAATTTGCTAGAAATTTGTTGAGGATTTTAGCATCCATGTTCATCAGGGATATTGGCCTGTAATTCTCTTCCTTTGGAATTAGGGTAATGCTAGCTTCATAGAATTCGGAAGTGTGCCTTCCTCTTGAATTATTTTAAAATAATCTGAGAAGGAGAGCTTTCAGTTATTCTTCGAATGTTTGGTAAAACTCCCCTGTGAAGCCATCTGACCCTGGGCTTTCATTTGCTGGAAGTTTTTAGATGACTGCTTCAATTTCCTCCTTACTTATCGCTCTGTTGAGATCTTTTTTATTCTTCTTGGTTGAGTTTTGGAAGATTGTATTTTTCTAGGAATATGTCAATTTCCTCTAGGTTGTTTAATTTTTTGGAATAGAGTTGCTCAAAGTATTTTTTTTTTTTTTTACAATCCTTTGTATTTCTGTGGGGTCTGTTGTTATTTCTCCTCTTTCATTTCTGATTTCATTTATTTGGGTTCTCTCTCTTTGCTTCTTGGTGAGACTGGCTAGAGTTTCATCATCTTGTTTATCCTTTCAAAGAGCCAGCTCTTGGTTTCACTGATCTTTTGGTTTTTTTGTGTGTTTTTTTGTTGTTGTTTGTTTTTGTTTTGTTTTTCTGGTCTCTATGTCATTTATTTCTGCTCTGATCTTTATTATCTCCTTACTTCTGCTCACTCTGTGCCTTTCTTGTTGCTTTCTTTCTAATTTTTTAAGCTGTAGAGGTAAATAATTTGCTACCAGCTTTTCTTCTTTTTTTGAGGTAGGCCTGTAATGCTATGAACTTCCCTCTAAAGACTGCACTGTATTCCATAGGTTTTGGATTGTTGTGTTTTCATTGTGATTCATTTCCAGGATGTTTTTCATTTCTTCTTTAATCTCTTTGGTAAAAAGAAATAGCCTTAATGTCAGCTACTAGTGCAAGGATTTGATCTTATAGGATACATTACAAGGGTAGGAAATTTTTTTTAAAATAAATTTTTATTGTTCATATTATTACAAATGTTCCTTTTATTCCCCCCCACCATTGCTCTCCTCCACCAGGTTGCCACCCCACCCTCTTCCCTTTCCCCACTTCCCATTGTCCTCATCCATAGGTGCACAGTTTATGTTCAGTCTCTTCCCACGTCCCTCTCTCCCCTTTTCCCCAAAAATCGTCAGTTCACTCCCCTTCCATACCTCTGATTCTATTATATTCAACAGTTCATATTGTTCCTCAGATTTTTTTTTTAAATTTCTTTGGTTTTTAGATTCACTTGTTGATAGTTACATATTTATTGGTCATAATTTTTATCTTTATTTGCTTTCTCTTCCAAAAGAACCCCCTTCACAATTCATATAATTCTGGTTTGGTGGTGATGAACTCCTTTAGCTTTTTTTTTTTTATTGGTGAAGCTCTTTATCTGACCTTCGATTCTGAGTGATAGCTTTGCTGGATAGATTATCTTTGGCTGTAGGTTCTTACTATTCATCACCTTGAATATTTCTTGCCATTCCTGTCTGACCTGCATGGTTTCTGTTGAGAAATCAGCTGACAATCGTATAGGTGCTCCTTTATAGGTAACTACCTGCTTTGCTCTTGCTGCTTTTAATATTCTCTCTTTGTCTTTTGCTCTTGGAATTTTAATTATGATTTGTCTTGGTATGGTCATCTTTGGATTCCTTTTGTTTGGAGTTCTGTGCGCTTCCTGGACTTGTAAGTCTAATTCTTTCATCAGGTGGGGCAAGTTTTCTGTCACTATTTCTTTTAGTATGTTTTCGATATCTTGCTCTCTTTCATCTTCTTGGACTCCCATAATTCTGATGTTGGTTCACTTGAAGTTGTCCCAGAGTTTTCTTACATTATCTTCAGTTTTCTGGATTCTCTTGCCTTCTAGCTTCTGTGGAGGAGTGTCTTCTGGCTCTTTGTGTTCCAAATCTTTGACTTGATTCTTGCGATCTTCCATTCTGTTTTTAGGACTCTGTATAATATTTTTTATTTCAGACAATTTATTCTTAATTTCTTGTTGATCCCTTATCATTTCTTGTTGATTCCTTATTAATTCTAGTT